ATACTACACTTGATCTTAGCCAAAAGGCCGAGAAGCGATGCCGACCATTGCCGCGCCCCGCGCCCAGCGCCGCTCGCCCCGCTCACACATCACGGTCACCCCCGCGCCGCCCTCCGCCCCTTCCTGAACCGTTCCCGGTGCTTTTCCGCGTCTCGTCCCGCACTTCCCGTTCGCGTTCCGCACGATCCGCCCCCCCAAACCCCGAAATTCCCGAAGAAATATCTTCCCAACATGCACCTCGCCCTGCCGCTGCTTCTACTTTGCATGGCCCCGCCTCCTTATGCAGATAAGCAGCCGGGCTTTAGTTGTAACGCCGCCATGACGGGCAGCGCCTCCCGCCACTTCCGGGTCACGCAGCTCATCAGCCAATCGGCTGCGGCCCCAGTCTCGCCTCAGCCAATCAGCGTCTGCTCCCTTGTGCTCCCCGCCGCCATCTTTGTTGCTGTCAACTCCCGCCCTGCCCTCACCGCTCCCATTAAAGGCCTTGAGTCCCGAAAGAAATCAAAAATCAATAATCAATAATCGATCGATTTATTTACAAAACTTGACGGGGATCGACGGGAATCGAACACGGGAGGGGGGCTCGGGGAGGGGGCGGGGATCTTCGATGTTCACTTAAGAAACGCGACCTCTGGAATCTTCCCTTCCATCTGCAAGGAGGAGTGGGCGTCACTGAGGGGACCCCAAAAAACGGGGAAAAATGGGGGAAATGGGGGAAAATGGGGGAAATTCGGGGAAAATTGGGAAAAATTGGGAAAAATGGGGGAAATTGGGGAAAAAATGGGGAAAAATGGGGAAAAACCCACCTTGAGCTGGGTAAAAACCTGCCCGGGGGGGAAATTGGGGAAAAAATGGGGAAAAATGGGGAAAAACCCACCTTGAGCTGGGTAAAAACCTGCCCGGCCTGGCCGTAATCCCAGTCGTTGTCCTGGAGGCACCTGAGGGACAGCAAAGGTCGGATTTGGGGATTTTGAGAAATTTTGGGTTTTTCTGAGGATTTTCGGGGTGGGTTTTTTTTTTTTTTCAGGGGATTTTTAAGGGATTTTGAGCAATATCTGGAGGATTATTCTGAGGGATTTTCAGGATGATTTGGAGCAATTTTCAAGTGGATTTTTAAACAATTTTTAGGCGTTTTCAGGGTGGGTTTATTTTTGTTTTCCCGGTGGGTTTTTGGGGTGAATTTGGAGGATTTTGGA